ATCTATCTATCATCTATCTATCATCTATCTATATCATCTATCTATCATCTATCATCTATCTATCATCTATCTATCTATCATCTACCTATCATCTATCTATTTATCTATCTGTCATCTATCTATCTATCATCTATTTATCATCTATCATCTATCTATCCATCTATCTACCTATCTACCTACCTATCCTATTTGCTCTGTTTCTTTGGAGAACCCTGACTAATATAGTTGTATTTTCCAGAAAATTAAGGGGAAATGGTTTATTCCTTTCCCAATACTAATATAGTTGTATTTTCCAGAAAATTAAGGGGAAATGGTTTATTCCTTTCCCAATACACTGAGGAATGTATATTCATTTTTCTTCAGAGCTGAAGTCTCTTATCAAAAAAATAAAGAGGTTTATTTACAAGAAGAAGTCTGTGGAAAAATGATAGCGCTAAAGAAAAGTGAATTGCATCATTGCTTAAACTTGTAATGGCCACATGACATCTGCATATATCTCTAGGAAATAAACAGCCTTTCATCACTTTTCAGTGGGTCTTTCAATCTCCTCATGAGCTCTGAACTCAGAGTTAGAAAAATGAATAAGCAGAATAATCTGGTGGCTAGAAGGTCACCTCTTTCATAAACCCTTTCCTCATCTATCTTAAACTGCTTTCCCCATATCCAATGTATAACACAACCACAGCTAAAAGGAAAAAGATCTTTCCCTCCACCAATCTTAACATAAGGTCATGTGAAACTTGTCTATCATGTTATACCTCCAGGGTGACTAGAGTTGTAGAGTTCTGTATGATGCCGACCAGTCTTCCTTGAGCTCGCTTACTGGCAGGCTACAAAGTACCGAATGCCTCAGCTAGTGGTGGTTACTATTACTCCAGTTAGTGGCATATACTATTCTGTATATTTAGCAGGGTATCATACAAAGTTTGAAGTCTTACCAGATCTGATACAGTGGGCAGTTGGGGTGTAACTTTCCCACATGTTTTAGACATTAAGCATGATTTCCTCATGCTTAGCATTGTTAACTCTAGCTGTCTACTGCATACAACTGAATGGAATGAATAGATATGTCTTTAGACCTGTATCAACCATTTCTGTATAACTATGACTACCTTTCTTTTATCTTTATTATATAACATTAAACATCATATCTATGTGCAATTTCTTATAATTCACACTTTATGTATAGTTGCCTTACTTATTTTGAATTCCCAAAAAAAGATCCTATATAAAACAATCATCAATTTCTAGATCGTTACTAATAGTTTTTGAAGTGGGTGGTAAAAACATCATTTTTCAAGAAAATTAAAGCTGGATGCATAATATGAAAAAAAATCAAATGTGATAAATATGTATGAAATAGTCAAACACATGCATATTAGCTCATATTAATTATTTAAAAAGAAGCAGTATTAATAATTCTGTGGACTGGAATTCTACTTCTACCTAAAAAAAGAAATATTAATTATTTTAATATCTCTATCCTTGATCATATGGGTGAATGCATCAGAAATTTGATATTTGAACATCTTGGATACATATGTATAACTGAAAGTTTTAAATAAACAAACACAATTACAGTCATTAACAGAGGTATAAACGAATACCCTGTTAATAAATGTTATTATTATTATTTTTTAGTGAATCTTGACGTAGTCTTTAGCCACAACACATATCTGAAACTTGAGACAGACTTTCTTTATGGGTTATAAAATCAGTCTCATTTCTTTTTAGTCCACTATTCAAATCATTGGCTCATTTTACTATCTGTTTTAGGAGAACTAGTTTCCATAGCTCAAAATTAAAATATTCTAAATGGGCTTTTCATTACATTTAAAAATAAATGATACTTAACTGGCATTTTGTAAATACAACTTTTCTAAACACAATACAGGATGCCTCAATCCTTCCTGAAAAGAAGCTGAGGATTTTGGCAGCTTCCCAGTTCCTCATCTGTAGCTGCTCCAAGATAACCAATCCGTGAAGCAGATGGGAAGAATTTCCCCAGAACATGCACAGTCCCTGCCAACGAAAAGCTGCCCTCTTTGCCTGGATGCATTGTTTTCATGTTTTGTTTTGCTATGTTGTTTCCAGTGCTCTTTTGAGTGTATTTCCAGACTATGTAGATGGAAATGAGAATGCAAGTATGGTGATGAGATAAAAAAAAAATACAGAGAATTAATAATATAAAACTAACCTCTTCATTCATGAAATATATTATGTAGAAGGTAAATAATTAAAAGTTAAACGCATAACCATTTCAGTTTTGAATTCCTCAAACGTAAAAAGTAGAAGGTGGACTATGATGATTATTTAGGACATCAGCTGTGAAAATGTTATTAGATTCACTCAAAATGTTCATAGCTTTATTTTTCCAATTTTTAAAAAAGTTACAAGATCTTCTGTGTTTATTTCACATATTTCTCATTTTATAAATACCAGAGGGGACCAGGATTGAGAACCTAAGAGGTTTGTCAAAGTACAAGGTAAGATGTAAGAAGATAAAATAATTTTGATTTCAAAATAACAGAAAGATTCAACATTACCATCTTCCCCTGCCCAATGTTCTTTTTTCATTCCCATTGTTCCATCATCTGAAATTCATTCAGTTTAAAACTAAGGATAGCAAAACATGAGCACTTCCTGGAGTGACAACATTTTAGGCTGCTGCTTGTGGTTTATAACATCATCTCTTTGGATACCAGGACCAGGATTTGTTAGGAAATACAGAGAACAGCTCACAGATTCCCTATACTTCTGGGAAAGGGCATGCCAACCATAGAAACAGACCAGGAAAAGCAGGCTCTTCAGAGGACAATCCGACAGGCTTCCTGCATTTACTAGGGCTGCTTCCACTCACTAAAGCCACAGAACATTCAGGCACATTCTTGTACGGTTCCCTGGTCTGCATTTATTTTGAAACGCAAGCTCTCCTAAACATTTTAGTTGCTATGTAATGTTTTTCCTGTATCATTTCACCTTGTGCTCAAACCGGTTGATCTACTTTTTCTTATTTTTGAGATTTTACACATGAACATCCTCAGAGGATAAAAACATTTACTTACCTGATATTTTTGTGGCATTGACTGAACTCTGATTCTCAGCTTTAAAGGAAAGAAAAGAAAATCACTAAAATTAAATGCTGAACATCACAGGTACTCTCATAATTATTTCAGATGGCAAATGAATATAGAACTTAGCTCATCTGTGATTCACTTTCCCTTAAATTAGAAAATCATGAGGCTTCATGATTAAAAGCTACTTTAGAGCAGGGGTCAGCCAACTTTTACTTAAAGGCCAAATAGTAAATATTTTAGGCTCTGCAGGCCATTAACAACTACTCAGCTTTACTGTTGTAGTGTGAATGTAGCCACACATCATACCCGAAGTATAGGTATGTCTGTGTTCCAGTGAAACACTACTTAGAAAAACAGGTGAGGGCTGGATTTGGCCTGTAGGCCACAATTTGCTGAATTCTGCTTTAGACCGTCTGGTACAACCTCACATCTTGAATATGTCAAGATGACACAGACAACTACAGGTCCTTTGGGAGGTGCTGTATGTTTGGTGCTGCTATGTGACGTATGCCCAGTAAGACCTGATCCATCTCCTCACCTGGGGAAGATTCAGGAAGGTTCAGACAGATACTTTTGAAATTTAGGGGATTCCTTTAAAGTAAATACAATGGAGAAGAGCTTTCTACAAGTCCAATTACTTGCGAGAATGACAATAAAATTCACTTCAACAACTTTAAGTATATTCACCATGAACAATATTTACCATGTGGAAAATATAGAAAATATTTTTGAAACAAATAGAAGCCCAATAATAAATGTTTAAAGTACTCATTAGCCTTCTTTGTACTTTTATTTGGCTGGTATCCGCCTTTTTGGTTCAATGCATAGCCCATTTGCCCCCCAGTCGCACAAGACAAAAAGTAGTGGCCTTTCTTGATTTTCTTCTTTCTCTCACCTCCCTAAGCTCTAGCTTCAAAATATATTCCAAATATGTCCCACCACTTAATTGGTTACTATTTATCTGGAACCCATATCTCTTGTGTTGGTAACTGCAATAACAGACACCTAGAAAAATATTTTTAAATTTAAACTGGGCTGCTTCAGTAGCTCCCTACTATTACTAGGCTGGCAGGTCGTAAGAGGATGTGGCCCCTGCCTTGTTCCTCAGTTGATCTCCAACCAGTCATACCCTTGCTTAGATCAAAGTCATGGGGCTCTTCCCGCCTCAGGCTTGTCTGCTTGCCCTTCTCTGTACCTCAATGTTGCTCTCTCAGGCTGACATCAGCTTCTTTCTATTTTTTCATGATTCTGCTCAAATATCACCACATCACACTCAAAGAAGTCTCCTCCAGCCACCTTATCTAAAATTGTCTCATTTCCCTTCATACTAGTCCACCACACTGTTTCATTTGCTCAACAGTACTTTCTTTACTACAGTGACATTTACTTTATGAATTTTTTTAATTTATTTTTTTAATCCTCACCTGAGGATATTTTTTCCATTGCTTTTTAGAGAGAGTAGAAAGGGGAGAAAGAGAGAGAGAAGGGGAGAGAGAGAGAGAAAGAGAGAGAGAGAAACATCGATGTGGGAGAGACACATCAGTTGGTAGCCTGCCACAGCTGGAGCTGGGGATCAAACCTCCAATGAAGGTGCGTGCCCTTGGCCAGAATTGAACCCTAGACCCTTCAGTCTGAGACTCAGTGCTCTAACCACTGAGCCAAACAGCTAGGGCACATTTACTTTATTTAAAAAACATTTTGTTGTCAGGATATAAACGCCATGAGGATAGTGATTTCTTTTTTTCATTTTTTAAAATTAAAGTGTACTTGATATGTAATATTATATTAATTTTCTGTGTAGTGTAACATAGTGACTTGGCATTTACATACATTACTATGTGATCACCACAATATGTCTAGTAACATCTGTCACCATACAAAGTTATTACAATATTATTGACAATAGTATTACAATATCATATTCCCTATGCTGTACACTACATCCTGTGACTTATTTGTTTTATAGTTGAGAGTTTGTATCCCTTCACCTTTTCCACCCATCTCCCCACCCAATCCCCTTCTGGGAACCATAACTTTGTTCTCTGTTTCTATGAGTCTGTTTCTGTTTGGTTTTGTTTGTTCTTTTCTGTTTATTTATTTATTTTTTTATATATTCCCCATGTAAGTGAAATTATACCATATTTGTCTTTCTCTGTCTGACTTATTTTACTTAGCATAATACCCTCCAGGTCCATCCAAGATTACATGTTTTACTCAGAGCCACAATTCTAGTGCCCACTACCAGGACATAGCAAAATAGAGCTCTGATAAAAAAACATATGGAATGAACAATTGAGAATAGAAAGTAACAGTAATAATAATAATAATGATGACGATGATGAATAAGACTAATTATACCCACCTAAATTTAATTTTAAGCAAAAATTAATGTTTCATTTAAAATAGCTAGTTGATAATCATAGCTACCATTTTTAATGCAACTTGTATGATCAATACCATATATTATTTGTTGATGTCTACAAGAGAGACTCTCCTTTTGCACATCTGCAAACACTTTCTGAGAGAAGTAAAACTACTTTCTCAAGGGGGTACAATGGTTAAAATTCAGATCTGTTGGTTATAATGTCCACCCTCTTTTACTAAAATAGACAGCTTTTTCTTCCACTAAACAGTTATGAAAGGAAAAGTTATGTAATCAAGTCCTACTTTTGATAACTAGTTAAAATGCTTTTGAATATGGCTTAATTCTGTAGAAGATGCAGTTAAAATATTTATCAGCTGCTAGAGGGTGAGAAAACAAAGAAAACCAAAACCCTTTGTTTCTCTTGCTATTAATATCAGGTCATAACCTTTCTTGCTGATAGACTTCATTGAGAATGAAAAATGTTTAAACTTGAATCAGACAAAAACTTCTGACTATCCTTTAGTTGTGTTTTCTTTTCAGCCTTCAAAATAGTATAATAATTTTAGAAGGACTTAGATATAAATGAAAAATAACTATGTTTTAAGGTATAGTAGAATTTAAAAAATTCATATACCAATTCAGACTTAGGACTTATATTGAGTCCTAAGGTGTCCAGACTTTTATATATGAATGAATATATTGTTATTCTGAGGACAAAATTCTGCAAACCTTAAATATTCAGTCAATATTGAAATAGCTTTGGGAGGGGATGTTAGGAGTGGTGGTGGAGGGACTGAGCAAAAAAGAGAAAAAAGATAGAGAACTCATGGACATGGACAACAGTGTGGTAACTGCAGGGGTGGAGGGGGATGGATGGAGGTGCTAGAGTGCATAGAGGGGATAAAAGGTGATGGGAAAAATTAAATCAAATTTTTAAAAATTGAAATAGTATATACTTTTTTTTCTGAAACCAAGGAGAATTATTCTGAAGATAATACAGTTTTATCACATGGCATACCATTTTCAAATTTGAACTCAGTTCTGTGGATAAAAAAGCTTAATAGAGGTGAATGCTATAAATATGGCTAAAGTTATGGGAATTAATGAAAAGTGATGATAATTGCAATTATTTTTGGTTTTTATTTATAATGATCAGAATACACGTGTGTTTTGAGAAAGGGCCAAGATCTGACCTACAGAGGAAGTGAGTAAAGACAAATAGCAAGTGAGTGTAGTGCATCCTTTTACTCTATTCTCAAATTTAGATGTTTAATAAAGACCAACATCTTAGGGTGGTTGCCAAATTAAAATCTGTTTGTTGAGTTTGATTTTCTAATATGAAACTGAAGTCTTATGAAATGCAAATGAACTTGTAAACTGCTAAACTTTAATCCACATTAATCCAAAGCTAAACTTTAACTCAAATAATTAGCTTTTAAAACAGAAAGCTTAAACAACAATACAACAAATAACTTTGCTGAATATTCTTATCTTACAAAGGATATTGTGTTTCCAGCTATACAGAGCTTTATATAGTTATACACAGAACATCATTAATAGGTCCAGGAGAAAAAACACATACAGTTATTCCCAAATAGAATTCTTGACTGATTTGCTTAAAAATAATTTGCTATAAACAATTCCAACTTTCCTTATCATTCTCCTATGCATGGTACTGACTGAGTCATGGTATGTAAAATTATTTCTCCTTTGGCTGAACCATGACTTGTGACTAAGACTTTGTTATCTTGAGGATTCCTCTTGTATCTGTCCACAAGAAATGATACAAACTAAGTAGCCTATAAGAAACATCATGATTCAGCTTCTAAATAAGTGGCAATCATGCCATTCACAAAAGAAATAATGAGCCTGGAAGATCAGATAAATTAATGTTTTCCAAAGGATAAGGTGCGTAGATAGCACTGCATGAGAGATTCTATAAGGTGATACTGGAAAGCGGCATTAAATAACATTGAAACACTCAATTATAAAGTTATTTCTTTTTAGCTTTCTTTCAGTTTATTTGATTATTTCAATGAGGAAGTTTCAAAATTTCAGTTTAATGCAAATATGTCATTAAAACCTATCATGGGTTTACTTTGATTTTTTTGGTTGTCTGTTTTCAGGAGAATGTGAGAACACAGTCTCCCATGACCACAAATGATACAGTTGAGTTTCCCACATTTGGGGAAATTGCAAGGGTCAGCATATCCAGAGTGCAGAGTGGATATAAGCCTGGCCCTGAAAAACCACCTTATGATCCTGGTATCTCCTCTGCCAGGTAAATATTTGATTTATTTTTGTAAACAAGGACAAGCAAGCTTCAAACTTAGAGCCTTTGGCAAGCAACAAAAGCTAGCTAGAATTTTATTTTATTTTGCTTACATCATAATGATTTGATAGCTCCTGCTTATGCCAAGTGAAACTGGTTTTTCATTTATGATAGTTTCGTTTTCAAACAAATTTAAGAATAAAAAGTGCATCGCTTTCAAGAAAGTACTAAATAAATAGTAGTGCAGATGGTACACATATATGGCAACACTCATTAAGTTGTGGGCAATACTGAGGTAAAATCTTGTAGAGGGCCTTGATGAAAGTGTGGAATTTTAATAAGAAGTTGGAAGAAGGACAAGGGAAAGAATAAATAAGGACCATACAAGCG